TCGAAATATTTGGCATTACTTAGCAAAGTACTTTAATGGTGGTCTGATTCATTGTTTTACCTAAAAGTCATATTAATACTCACCGTCAATAGACTACGACTTTGGCTTAAATATTCTTACATTTTCTGGTGTCAATTTAAGATTAAATTATCCGGAAATAATTCAAAAATTATAGACAATTTTAATACAGTTCTTTTGTTAGTTGGAGATAGACTTGATGGGAATTACAACTCCTCGCCTCTCTCTTCGATGTTATCAAATCAGAGATCTTCAAAGTTTGTCCGATTAGGACGAATTAGTGAAACCTTGTATTTTGTGCAGCATATCAAATGATGGATGGAGAGGATTGCTCTAATACATCCATTTATATATATCTCCCATATAAATGTTACACGATTTCATTCAATTTTTCATAAATTTCCGAATGGTATGTGTAATGGTTGTTTTAATTTAGCTCAAATATTTATGCCCTTCACACAGTAAATTTCGCCCATGGGTCCATGTCATTAGTCATCCAAAGATGCTATGTATATTCTATCTACAGGATATTGTACATATGAGCATCTCTTGTATATACCCAAAGTGGTGAATTTTCCCTACTGGTTGGAATATTCCAAATATTCCAAAGTGGATATTAGTTTTCTTTTGCAGAAATTTACCATGGTATAGCCCCCATATCATAGTACCGGACAATTTTGTATATTTTTTATTTTCCATCTCGTGTTTCAGGATATAAAATGATTGACCCGGTCGAACTTAGCTATCTTATTAACTTTTCATGTGGCTATACTTATTGGTTGTGCTACCTTTGTAAAGAAAATAGTGAATAAAATTTTTGATTTTGTGAAGTTTTCATGGAGATGATAGGACTTTGGTTCCAATGTCATACCCCTACACCAACCTATAAAATCGTTAATATTCAACCAAATTTAATGAGAATTGACAGTTTACATCTACTAAGGTCTATAAAGTAACTGACAATAAAGATGGATAGATCGGACCAAGATTTGATATACCTCCTATACAATGGGTCTTAAAAATTCGCTTCTGTGACCTATGAAAACGTTAATACTCCGCCAAATTTGATGAAAATGCACAGTTTACTTCCTATTTGGACGAAAACATTAATAAATGTTTCGAATATAGCTGTTGGTCCTCGTTTCAGAATACCTACCATAATAAAGGTGCCCTGAAAAAGTAATCCATGTTATAATTTTGCATTTTATTTTATGAATATTTACATTCAATATGATCGGGTTCTCCTAATTATTTTCTCGTCATGTGAAAGTCACTCCAAAAATAATGTACGGTACTTTACGTATTCAATATCATGAACTAAAATGTTTCTGTAGGAAATTTCTACAAATGTTATACGCGTGCATCCTATAAATATCTATTATTATTTTCGTAATGATGTCTTAAATAATGCGTTAAATTAGTATAATCTTAAAACTGGTCAAATCTAATTCAAATGTAACCGTGTAACAGCAATATCCTCGATAACATTTTTACCAAGTAATTGCAAATTTAATGTAAAATATAGTAACATTACTATGTTCTGAATCCGTTTTGGCCCTCAATAATTTCTTTAATGGCAGACATAACATATTCGTTCCATAACTTTTAACCATTTCATGAATATGTTATATTTTTATACCCTTCACCACACTGTGGTACTGGGTATTATGTCTTTGTGCATATGTTTGTAACAGGCAAAAGGAATCAAGATAGACCCATGTTTCCTAATCACTTATATGTATATAATCACTTTCTGAGTCGATTTACGCATGTCCGTCCGTCCGTCTGACCATGTTAAATTGTAAACAAAGTACAGGTCGCATTTATGATCCGAATTGGATGAAATTTGACACAGCTCATTTGTTTGACCCAAGGACGAACCCCATTGAAATTGGGAAAAATCGGTTCAGATTTAGATATAGGTCCATATATATATTTTCGTCCGATTTAAGGTAAATGGCGTACCAAAGTCCCTATATATCTTTCGATTTGCACGGAATGTGGCATAGCGTACTGAATTAGGTCTAGAATGATGTGTGCAAAGTTTCGTGAAAATCGGTTCAGATTTAGATATAGCTCCCATATATAGTTTCGTCCGATTTCATGTAAATGGTGCACCAAAGTCCCTATATATCTTTCGATGTGCACGAAATTTGACAGAACGTACTGAATTGAGCCTAGAGTGATGTCTGCCCAGTTTCGTGAAAATCGGTCAAGATTTAGATATAGCTCCCATATATAGTTTCGTCCGATTTTATGTAAATGGTGCACCAAAGTCCCTATATATCTTTCGATTTGCACGAAATTTGGCATAACGTAATTGAGGCTAGTGTGGTGTCTGCCACGTTTCGACAAAATCGGTCCAGACTTAGATATAGCTCCCATATATATTTTCGTCCGATTTTATGTAAATGGTGCACCAAAGTCCCTCTATATATCTTTCGATTTGTACGAAACTTGGCATAACGTACTGAATTGAGCCTTGAGTGATGTCTATTAAATTTCGTGAAAATCGGTCCAGATTTAGATATATCTTCCATATATAGTTTCGTCCGATTGTATGTGAATGGTGCACCAAAGTCCCTATATATCCTTCGTTTTGCACGAAACTTGGCATAACGTACTGAATTGAGCCTTGAGTGATGTGTACTAAATTTCGTCAAAATCGGTTCAGATTTAGATATAGCTTCCGTATATAGTTTCGTCCAATTTTATGTTAAAAATTCACCAAAGTCCCTATAAATCTTTCGATTTGCACGAAATTTGGTATAACGTACTGGATTGAGCCTGGAATGACGTGTGCTGAGTTTCGTGAAAATCGGTTCAGATTAAGATATATATATTTCCGTCAGACTTAATGTACCAAAGTTCTAATATTGCATAGATCGATTGGTTTTAAGTAATTGACGCACCAAGGTCGATAGGAACAAAACGTAATGAAATTAGTATAATCCAACCTGTGACAAGTTTCGTTGAAATCGGTTCATATTTGGATATAGATTACACATATATTTTCGTCCGATTTTAAGTAAACGGTGCAAATGGTGTTTGTCAGATTGACATGAAATTTTGCATAACGACATAGCCCAACGGTCCAACATTTGTCCCATTGTAACAAACAAATGATATGCTTATAGATTGATCTAAGTTGATTCACATTTAGATAAATATCACATATTTTAGTTCATCCAATTTCATGTTAATTGTCCTATTTAATATTCCCATAGTGGTGAAGGGTATCATATAGTCGGCCCCGTCCGACTTTACTACTTTCCTTACTAGTTTTCTTTGCGAGTTTTCGGTTATCCTATGTAACGTTACAATTGATGTTTTTGTTTTTGCTGAAAGACAGACAAAACTGTCCGAGGGTTAAAATAAAAATTGCTTTTTTTTTCTAAACTCTGTCCTTTATATGATTTTAAATACAAAATTTTCGATTTTTATTCCAACAAAATTTATTTTGACTCTGAAAGGGTTAAATTACACACAACTTAAATCAGAAAAAATGAAACTTTTCATCTACTCCACTAATTCCAAAATTTGTTTAACAAATTGGATGAACTAAGTACTATAGACGTGGACAACTTTCAAAACAATATGATCTCTATATGCGTATAGACAACAGTGATACTAGTTTTTAGTATTCCACAGCAATCAAAATAAACACTTTTATAATAACCGTTTATTTAAATATTCAAATATTTGATTATCAGAAAAATATACCGAATTTTCGAAAAAAAGGTGAAAAATCAGTTTGCAAACATGGCCGCCCTCTGTTTTACTTCGGAATTATATGATATTGTGTCCCCATTTTAATGACTTTCCTCAGGACCGTCCTAATATCAACACATAGTTATTCTATTTCATATGATTGATATTATCCATATGATTGACACAAATACTTTGAATTGCATTAGGTACGGCTCTATTAAAGATATAATATCTCAATGTCCCTTGTGCACTCACTTCCACGCTCTTTAAACCAATATGAATAATTTATTGCGACAAATTATTTATGTAAAAATAATTTCACATACTAAATCATCTTCTGTGCACAGTCAATTGATCCTTACTCTATCAATATACAATATAAATACCGAAAAAAATCCTCTTTAAACTAGTCAAGGACTTTCATAAATATTGACTAATATTTGACCAAGTTTCAATAAATATTTTTTTTCCTTTGTTGGCCTAACACTTCTCAAATGATAAATGACCCTTTAAACGCAGATTGGTCATTTGTCGTCTGATTTTTTATTCTCTTTGCTGGTGCTGCTGTCGTTGTTGTTCTTTGATTTTTATTCTAAATTGTATAACATAAAACCAATAACCTACAAAAAAGGCTAAGCGCCGCCACCATTCATAGCTAACAGAGAGACATAAGAAGAAGAAATAAAAAGCAACAACCCACATTTATTGGCCTCAGTTAAAAAAATGCATTTTTTCTATCAAAAGGGAGAATTGAAATACATAAAAAATTACAACAAAAAGAAACAAAAATCGGCAGACATTTTAGCGGTCGTCTAAGTTCAAATGTTGATGGCAACGCTAAACAAGAAGAAACAAAAAATATGTATAGGAATACAACAATCGCGAAAAAAGCGCGAATAAAAGTGAAAAAGATAAGGATATGGAAAAAAGGGCTGGTTACATTTTTTCATTTTTCTTTTATTACAGTTCGTCTCTTTTATTATTTGTTTTTTTCGCTTCTTTAGACAACAAAAAAATTGGAAGGCAATAAACACCACAAAAAATAGCCGTTTTAAAGAGAAAGTGACAAGGAATTATTTGCTTCTGTTTTGACGGGATTTATAGCATTTTTGTACAGACTTAAATTGGATAGATATTTTAGATTTTATGTAAATGTAGAGATTATTAAATTTAAGCTAGTTTAAATTGTATATACATTTTATATTCACAATTTTAATACAATTAATTTTTTATATTTACTTCTCTTTGCAAATCCTCAGCACTATGGTCAGCATAATAAGGAAATTGGTGATCACAATTTTTGGCCCCCAACACCACCAACCACTGCAACAGCTGTTGGAAAGGTAAGTTCGAATAAAACAAATTTTTTAATCAATACATTTTTAATATTTTATGAAAAATCAAAAAAAAAAAATATTTTTAAACAAGTAAGTTTAACACACAAAAGAAAAAAACAGTAAGGAAAGTAGTAAAGTCGGACTGGGCCGACTATATGATACCCTCACTGCTGCACTATTTATAGTTTAATCTCAATCAGACACTCATTGATTATTTGGTGTACAATTAACATGAATAAATCGAAATTATATATGGAAGCTATGCTATATCTATATCTGAACCGATTTCAAGGAAACTTATCAGAGATTAATTTATATTAACTTCAGTACGTTGTGTCAATCAGCCTAGATATGGATATTTAGTGCACCATTTACCTAAAATCGGGCGAAACCGATTTTCACAAAACTTAGCACACGCCTTTCTAGACCTAATTTAGTGAACTATGCCAAAACTCATGCAAATCGTAGGATTTTCAAGGACTTTGGTGCACCATTTACGTAAAATCGGGCGAAAATATATATGGGAGCTACATATAAATCTAAACCGATTTTCACATAATTCAGTACGCTGTGCCAAAATTCGTACAAATCTAATGATTTTCAGGGACATTGGTGCAACATTTACCTAAAATCGGGCGAAACTATGTATGGGACTATATCTAAATCTTAACCAATTTTCACGAAATTTAGCACACGTGTTTCTAGACTTAATTCAGTACGCTATTCCAAAATTCGTACAAATTGAACGATTTTCAGGGACTTTGGTGCACCATTTACTTAAAATCGGACGAAACTATATATGGGAGCTACATATAAATCTAAACCGATTTTCACATAATTCAGTACGCTGTGCCAAAATTCGTACAAATCTAATGATTTTCAGGGACTTTGGTGCACCATTTACTTAAAATCGGACGAAACTATATACGGGAGTTATGTACATCTGAACCGATTTTCACGAAATTTAACACACGTCATTCTAGACTTAATTTAATACGCTATGCCAAAATTCTGGCGAAACTATATATCTAAATCTGAAACTATTTTCACGAGACTTAGCACACGTCATTCTAGACTTAATTTAGTACGCTATGCCAAAATTCCTGAAAACCGAAATTTGCAGGAACTTTGATGAAACATTTACCTAAAATCGGGCGAAACTATATATGGGAGATATATCTAAATCAGAACCGATTTTACCGAAATTTAGTACACATCATTGTTGACTTAATTTAGTACGCTATGCCAAAATTGGTGCAAATCTAATGATTTTTAGGGACATTGGTGCACCATTTATCTAAAATCGGGAGACATTTACCATATATGGGACTTATATCTAAATCTGAACCGATTTTCTCCAATTTCAATAGGTTTCGTCCTTGGGCCAAACCAATGGGCTGTGCCAAATTTCATCCAATTCGGATCATAAATGCGACTTGTACTTTGCTCACAAAAATACATGGACGGACTGACGGACATGCATAAATCGACTCAGAATGTGATTCTATGCATATTCCCAAAAGGAACCATGGGTCTATCTCGATTCCTTTTGCCTTTTACAAACATATGCACAAAGACATAATACCCTGTACCACAGTGTGGTGAAGGGTATAAAAAGTGTCAGTCTGTATTGCCGACAGATGTACACCCCAGCCTATGGTTTGCGGAGGTCTATGGAATTAGACCAGAAGAGTTTGTCTATAAAAATGTATATTTTAATGTTTGTGGGTGAGGTACCAGAAGGAGCGAGGAGACGTGGAACATGATCTAGACTTGGTAAAAATATTACGATTACGCAAAATTTGGATCAAATTAGACATTCCATTCGTTTGATATTGGATTTATAAAAAATTGAAAATTTTGACTCTTTGTGGGAGAGGTATTTGAAGGAATACGCCGATATGTTCCACCTTACAACTATATACAGGCTTAAATCGGATAGTCCGTTCGCATGATATTACAAAACAAATTTTCAGCAAAATGTTGAGTTTGACTAAAATCCCCAAAAGACCACGCCTTTTTCTTAAAAAAAATTCTTCAAAAATTCACGCCCTTTTGTTAAAAAACGCTGTCTGTCAGTCAGTTGAAATCACATTATAGCTCGCAATATTTAAGATAGCGATTTGGAATTTGGTACATATATTGCTACTACTCCTACCAAACGCCATAAACCATTTAACGCATTTGCAATACCAATCACCCTAGGAGTAATTGCAATGTCAGAGAAAAAATTCAAAGCTGTCTTTTCATTGTGTTTTCAGCAGACAAACAGACGGACATGGCTAAATCCACATAACATTTTTTTCTGATTCGTCTCCAGCGAATCTTTCGAGGCGTTGCAAATGAAATGACAAATTTATTTTATCCAGCTTGAGATGGGGTTATAATTATAGCTCTGTGGGTTCTTCAAATATTATTTAAGAAATATACCCTTATAGCTCCGGCAGGTATAATAATATTCTTTACAAAATTCAGAGTTATAGTTCTAAGGATCAATATTTAAACAAATACTGCATTAGCATTAAAGTACCTTGATAATATTCGGTAAGCATTTCAGGAATGTAGCTCTGAGGGTTCTACAAAAAAAAACTAGTGAGGAAAGCAGTAAAGTCGGACTAGGCCGACTATATGATACCCTTCACCACTATATATCGCTATATATCGAAACCAGAACCGATTTTTCCAAAGTTTCGGAAAAATCGGAAAAAAGATCATTCTAGACTTAATTCAGTACGCTGTGCCAAATTTCATGCAAATCGAAAGGTATATAGGAACTTTGGTGCACCATTTACATAGAATCGGAAAAAACTATATATGGGAGCTATATCTAAATCTAAACCGACTTTCATGAAACTTAGCACACATCATTCTGGACCTAATTCAGCACTCTATGCCAAATTTCATGCAAATCGAATGATATATAGGAACATTACCTTAAATCGGACAAACTATATATGGGAGCTATATCTAAATTTGAACCGATTTTCTCGAAACTTGGCACACATCATTCTGCACCTAATTCAGTACTGTATGCCAAATTTCATGCAAATCGAATGATATATATGGTGCACCATTTACCTTAAATCGGACGAAACTATATATGGGAGCTATATCTAAATCTGAACCGGTTTACTCAAAACTTGGCACACATCATTCTGGACCTAATTCCGTACTCTATGCCAAATTTTGTACAAATCGAATGATATATAGGGACTTTGGTGCACCATTTACCTTAAATTGGACAAACTATATATGGGAGCTATATCTAAATCTGAACCGATTTTCTCGAAACTTGGCACACATCATTCTGCACCTAATTCAGTACTGTATGCCAAATTTCATACAAATCGAATGATATGTAGGGACTTTGGTACACCATATACCTTAAATCGGACGAAACTATATATGGGAGCTATATCTAAATCTGAACCGATTTTCTCGAAAGTTGGCACACATCGTTCTGCACCTAAGTCAGTACTCTATGGCAAATTTCAAACAAATCGGAAGATATAGAGGGACTTTGGTTCCACATTTACCTTAAATCGGACGAGAATATATATGGGAGCTATATCTAAATCTGAACCGATTCTTCCCAATTTCAATAGGGTTCGTCCTTGGGCCAAATAAGTGACTTGTGCCAAATTTCATCCAAGTCGGATCATAAATGCGACCTGTACATTGTACATTGGACGGACAGACGGACATACATAAATCGACTCAGAAAGTGATTCTATGCATATTCTCAAAAGGAACCATGTGTCTATCTCGTTTCCTTTTGCCTGTTACAAACATATGCACAAAGACATAATACTCTGTACCACAGTGTGGTGAAGGATATAAAAATTTAAAAAATACCACTTCTAGCTTTTATGGATCCGTGAATAATATAAAAAATCAGCTCATATTGGGATGATGATCCACAGACATTTATTAACAAAATATTTAAAAGTTGTTAAAACAAAACCTTTAAAAATCTACCACAGATTAAATCAGCAAAAATGCACATACAACATAAAAGAAATACTACAACATAAAAGAAAACTGGAAATAAAAAAATAGAGAAATTCTTTTTTTTCGAGAAGTCTAACAAAAAATCCGTCTAGGATATAACGTTTTTATGTTTTTCTCTAGATTATGCACCGCCAAGGGGAGCAATAACATTTCTTCATTGGCGGCCATAAAAATAAAAAAACTTGCTAACAAAAGGGAATTCCAGAAAGGTTTATTTTTGTTTGTTTTGCAATGTTTAGCTATATTTTGTTGTTCCCTTCCAAGGGGTATCTCTTTAGTTTATTGTGTCTATGTTTATATAATTTTTTTGGTACATATTTTTTTGCTACGTTTAGATTCAGTAGAATAAAGCCGGCTATGTTTTTTTTTATTTGGAAGAATTTGTGTACTCCAAAAAAAAAAAAAAAATACAATATATGAACGTAGGTCATGTTCATGTTATGTTTTTGTTTTTTCCCTCATTCTTTCTATTTTTATGTTAGAAAAAATATTTTTTTTCTAGATTTGTTTCCGTTGTTATTTTTATTATTTGCTTGAATTGATTTTATGTGACTCGCCACGACGACCAGACCGGTCATTTTGGCCATTCATCGTCCCATTCCACTCAAATGATGCTAAACAATTCAGAAAGGCGTTCACAAAAATCGGCATAAAGGGCAGTTTTAGTCTGTATTTTAGTTGTTGTTATTTTTATTTTTTAACAAATGTTTATTTTTTTCGATGTGGCCATAATAGAATTTTAACCTATATCCGTTGTTTACATGGCTCAATAGATTGTTTGTTGGATTTCATAGTTGGTAGTTTCCTTTATACATCTGGGTTTTTGTTGGCAATATTATTTAAAGTGTTATGATTCGGTTATGAACAATATTTGCACTAGATTGAATACGATTTGTGGGTAAATATTTTTGTCAGCAGTAGCAATTGGTTGAGATTTAGAAATTTTAGAAAATAACAATAGAACTCATGAATGAATTTTTGGAATATGTTTAAAGAGCTCTATATATGACTGGATACAAATTGCAAAATATTTAAAACATACATAACAATTAGATTAGGAGGACAGATTTAACTCTGTTTTTTTCGGTTAATAACAGATTCATTCCAAAATAATGGGATTAGAAATAGAAGTCGTAATATTTTCTTCAAAGGCACAAAAAACCCAACGGCGAGTAAAATTCTGTTTAAGTGTGGTAATTTTAAAATTATTTTTACATTAGTAAAAAAACATTTAAATTTTTTAACCCGAATTTGGAACGAGGTATGATTGAAAATGTATAATAAACTGCAAACGAAATGATATACATTAGTTACCGTTATTTTGAAACAAATTAAATATCATGTGGCCAAAGCGTTGCATTTCTTTGGCTCGCCGCAAAATTATTATGTTGCTGGAAAACTAAAATTATAATATCATGCGAACAGAGTATCCAATTGAAAACTATGTAGCAAAGCTATACTAAGTCCTCTCCTATCTCCTCACAAAGGTTCTACATTTTGAAAATGTCTAAATCTCGCAATCTCTCAAATGATTGCACATTGTAATATTTTGATCAATGGGTCGATTATGGATAGCGACCAAAATCCAGTTACGATTTCAACTGGCAACGCCACTGAAATAAAACTTAACATTACGAATATCAACTTTTCTCAGTTGCCGTCGATAATACTATTTAACACTTTTGAAACTAAAATATTGTAAACAAACAAATGAATACAATATTTCAGAAAAACTAATTATATGTTATGATAAGCTCAATGGAACAATTTTTTGATGATGAAAATGATGTGCAAGGCGTATCATCTATTAGAAGGCATTTAAGAGATAAATCCAATCCATTAGAACTACCATCCGTACTGTGAGTAGATGTTTATGTTTAGAGAAATGTTCTATCAACTGCTCATTTTAGCACGATAACTCAAAAACTAATAACCCAATCGATTTCAAATTTTTACACGTTTCTCTGTGAGTGTATAGCTATCGTATGAACTAGGATAAAGCCAATCATTGAAGATCTTCCTTATTTTTTAAGTTGGTTTTTGGTCAAAAATCGGCGATTTTCCAAAAATATTTTTTCAATATTTTGATAATTTTAGAGCGAAGTCAATAATCCTAGTTCATACGAGAGCCAGACATGTACTCTTTCTAACACCATTGGAATTTTCGGATTTCGATGTTCCAGTGAGGAGTTATCATGCCCGCCTTCAAAAATAAGGACATTTCTTTGATCACAAAAACAACAACAAACATTTTTTGTAAATTATTTTTCTTCCTTTTTAAATCTTCAAATATATATGTGCAAAGTTACAACAATTAACAAGCATTGGTATTGATTTACCAGCCCATTGAAAATCTTGAAAAATTAAAATCGAGAATAGGTGGGGTTCCCTTAAGGCGTATTTTCGGCTAACAAAAGATGCCTAGTTTCCGAAAAGCCCGACTGTCAACAGCAATTCCTCCTTTCATAAAAGTGTGTACAGCTCTGAGGTTTTTTGCGGAGGCAATGACTTCAACCTTGCCATGGCTCAATACACAATGTCGGTGGTTTTGACCGAAGTTGTCCGGCTAATAGAGGAAAAATTGTGTAAAATGTAGATTTTTTCCAAATTAACAGAGGAGGAAAATGAGAAGAATAACAATTTGTATACCCTTCACCACACTGTGGTACAGGGTATTATGTCTGTGTGCATATGTTTGTAACAGGCAAAAATAATCGAGATAGACCCATGGTTCCTTTTGAGAATATGCATAGAATCACTTTCTGAGTCGATTTATGCATGTCCGTCCGTCCGTCCCTCTGTCTGTCCATCTTAAATTGTAAACAAAGTACAGGTCGCATTTATTATTCGAATTGGATGAAATTTGGCATAGCTCATTTATTTGGCCCAAGGACGAACCCTATTGAAATTGGGAAAATCTGTTCAGATTAGATATAGCTCCCATATATATTTTCGTCCGATTTAAGGTAAATAGTGCCTCAATGTCCTTTTATATCCTTCGATTTGCACGAAATTTTTCGCATAGCGTACTGAAAAAGGTCTAGAACAATGTGTGTTAAATTTCGTGAAAATTGGTTCAGATTTAGATATAGCTCCCATATATAGTTTCGGTAAACAGTGCACCAAAGTCCCTTCATATCCCTCGATTTCCACGAAATTTAGCATAGCGTACTGAATTGAGTCTAAGTTTCGAGAAAATCGGTTTTGATTTATATATATATCCTTCGATTTTCACGAAATTTGGAGTTAAGTTCCGTCTGTTAAGTTTCGCTAAAATCGGTTCAGATGTAGATATACCTCCCATAAATATTTTCGTCTGATTTTATGTGAATGGTGCACCTAAGTCCCTATATATCCTTCGATTTGCATTTGGCAATTTGGCATAGAATGCTGAATTGAGTCTAGAATGATGTGTGGTAAGTTTCGGGAAAATCGGTTCAGATTTAAATAGAGCTCCCAGATATGCATATGTATTCGTCCGATTTTACATAAATGGTGCACCAATCTCCTAATGTTTGTCCGATTAACACGAAATTACGCACAACGTATCAAATTGAGACTTGAATGACGTTATTGCGTTCTGTAGAAATTGGTGCAGATGCAACCATAGCTTCCATAGACGACTCTAAATCTGTCCGAATGAAATTAAATTTATCATAGCTTGCAGAAAGACATGAGTATGTTCCTTCGAGGTAACATTGACATGTAATTGTAAAGATAAATATGTACAACTTACACAAAGTGGTGAAGGATATCATATAGTCGGCTCCGTCCGATTTTACTGCTTTCCTTACTGGTGTTATTCGAAAACAAAATTCCCGGGTGTTGTCGGATGTATAGATGCCATACACGTACATATCATGGTCCCAAAAGAAGATGTTCACCATTTTGTAGTAATTTTAACCATTATTCCAAGAAAATTTCAGAAACCAGAAATAAATGGTTGCCGACAAATTCTATTTGAAGCAACTGAGGTTGACAACATTTGCCATCCATAATTCAAATTTGGCAACTAGCAACGTCACTAAACTATGGTTACCATCCGTAATCGACAAACAAGTTTAATGTATCTGTAGCAAACATTGATTCTTTTGAAATAATTTCGACTATTCTTTGACTAATATTGGGCATTATCTCAGCCATAACGTGATGCATGTTAGTTTTTAAGGCTCAAAAGTTGAAGGTTTGTGCGGATAAACACTGTCTGTCGGACCAGTTGCCACGACGAGAAAATTACGCGGTCTGGAAATGTCTCTTGCAATATAACCATATTCGCTCGAATTCTATAATTCTACAATAGCAGGTAAAAAATTAATTATTGTATGATTTTTTCGAAGAAGTAAAGTCCAATCACACCTTCGAACCATATAGCTATATAGCGCAAACGGTGACTTTTTCTGGATGTAATGGTCTCTCTTCAATTGCATGACGATTCTCTGCACCCCAAATACGATTCAGTTTTTTTACGTACCCACCGAGTGAGAAATGTGATTCAACGTTGCAGAAAATTGTCGTCCATAGCCTGTTGTGCAAGCACACATTCTACGTATCTACGATTTGAGATGGGTGAGATGGGCTTTTTATCAATGTAGGTCTATATGCAAAATACGTCATAATATCCGATAGGACAGTCCAAATTCTTGAGAACGTCGAGGAATCAACACATTTACGAATCCTTGAAACAGTCCTGAAATGTGCTTTTTGGTTAAGCCAACACTGGCTGTATCGATTTTTCATATGACATATAATATTCACTTCCACAATTTCGAAGTAATCTGACTCATCGTTGACGATGTTCAACAGCTCCTGCACGATATCAATGCGATATTGTTGTTGCTCAAAATTTAGCAGTCAAGGAACAATCTTCGATACAGCACATTTCGTGCCATTAACATCCCTAACAATTAAAGAAAATTCAAAACCCTGGCTTGAAGTCGGACCTATATAGATTTTTGAACCTACTTTAAATATTTTATAGACATGTCATCATTCTATAGACATGAAACCGAACAAAAATATCTATACGAGCTATACCTAAATCTGTAGGTCTATGCAGTAACTTTTAACAACTATCGATATTTTTAAATTTCTTTTGTTGTTTGTAACAGGCAAATGGAAACGAGATAAACATATGGTTCCTTTTGAGAATATGCATAGAATCACTTTCTAAATCGATTTATGCATGTCCGTTCGTCCGTCCGTCTGTCCATGTTAAATTGTCAACAAAGTACAGGTCCCATTTTTTATTCGAATTGGATGAAATTTGGGACAAGCCAAACCCTATTGAAATTGGGAAAAATCGGTTCAGATTTAGATATAGCTCCCATATATATTTTCGTCCGATATAAGGTAAATGGTGCACCAAAGTCCCAGTATATTTTTTGATTTGCACGAAATTTGCCACAGCCTAATAATTTGGGTCTAGAATGATGTGTGTTAAGTTTCCTGAAAATCGGTTCAGATTTAGATATAGCTTCTATATATATTTTCGGCCGATTTAATGTAAATGGTGTACCAAACTCCCTATATATCCTTCGATTTGCACAAAATTTGGCATAGCGTACTGAATTGATTCTAGAATGATGAGTGGAGAGTTTCAGAAAAATCGGTTCAGGTTTTGATTTAGCTTACATATGTATTTTGATCGGATGTCTGATTGAAATTAAATTTTTAACAGCGAATAGCGTGTATCAATTTTTCTTTAAATTGTTTTCCATAAATTTGTCCCATGGTCAAGATCTGCCCGAATGAAATTTAATTGATCATAGGTTGCAGAAAGACATCAGTATGTTCCTTCGGGAACATTAACATGCAATTGTACATATGTAGAATATACCCAAAGTGGTGAAGGGTATCATATAGTCGGCCCAGTCTGACTTTACTACTTTCCTTACTGTTTTTTTTTTTCAATACATTCCATACAATGGCGGCTATTGTTATATCCTATTTATTAAACCTAACATAATTTCATGGTAACATTTAATAAACAACTGTTGTTTTTTTTTCTTTTCAGACCAAAATGAATGATCACCACAACAATTTACAAAAAGGTAATTTTTGTTTTTTAGAACCACGAATAGTTGCTCTAAAAATATATGCATACAAATTGTTTAACTAGTAATTTTGCTTTCAATTACAATTGTAGAAAATATCATAACTGATCTCTACCGCAATCTCCAAAAATTTAATATGAGTTAAGTGGCTAAATGCCTGTATATATAACCTTTACCCACATACTCACACACACACTCTCTGGCACCGAGAATGCCAAACAAAAATAGCAAACATTTTCAAATAGAAATAATGCCAAACATGTTGTAAAAGCTAATAGAAGAAATTGTTGTCGCCGTAAACTAAACGGGGGAGAGACAACGTACAACAGATGCTAACAACTTGTTAACATAAATTCCATGCTATAGACTAACAAAAAAAAAAAATGGAACGAACGAACAAAAAAATAAATAACAAAATATTCACACACTCCAAAACATGGCTAAAAAAACTACAAATGCAAACTTATCTTGCCAGGAGCAAAGTGCTTAGCTTATAATATTAATGGAAGAGGGCACTTGTAGGGGGCCTTAGTAATTACTGCAATGGAGTTTTGCGACAAACTCTTAACTAGGCCTAAATGACGAATAAGTGGACCTTATTGGATGTTTTTGTTCCGCATTCAGCCGTAATTTGGTATTTCGTGTTTTTGGAGGCATAATATATTGCCCTTGTGAGTTTTAAGATTGGAGGCATATTTTGTTGTTGTATAGCTGTGTATTTTCTTCTATACAGTCTGATTGTGCTTCTAACTCCAGATTCAAAAAATCGGTGCCCTGTATAGGTTGAGTCCATAATGATGGTGGGTAATTGAGTAGGTGGACCATTACAACATGCCTGACAGATATTAGCCATCTATTCTAGCCCCGTTCAAATTGGAACGACTACAACACCCTGATTTAATTTGTACCATATTCACTCGAGTTTATTTCGGTGGCTTAAATTTTCGGTGATGGGTGGTCATCCTGTATTTGAATTGCTTCCTCAACTACATCAGTGTAAACATATTTCAATTTTGCTTGATATACCTGTTGAACTAGAGGCTCTCTTTTGTACCTCTGGACCACTCCCTTAATAACGTGAGTATGTTTGCTGATGTGCATTTTGCTTGCCGATCAGATTTTATACAACCTTCCAACAATTCCAGCAGAATATGAATTGGGTCGTCTATACCCGATCTCTGTTATACCAAAACCAGTCTTCTGCGTCTCGATGGCTGTTGCTTTCACTGGGGTGTTTGTTCTGCGAACGACTATTGAACTTCTGTTTTTTGATAGCGGAAATTATCGACCCATCGGCCTGTTCATGCACAGGTATGATCTGTAATTGATCTATCGGAGTCAAAAAATTTCACCATGTCGCAGTTTTCAGGCGGGTATTTTGGCAGGATTGAATGTTTATCCATTGTTTAGCACAGATCGGCCCATCTCTAACAAAAAAGTTTCTTTATCAGTTCTCTAAATATTGCTGGCTATTGTCTGGATAATGTTCTTTTTGCTCATCACCTTATGTGACCCTAGAACCTGCACATTCAGCGATACCGTTAACTTCGTGGCGCATATTTGCATAATCGTCGTATGGAAAATGTGTATTCAATCGATAGCAAATGTCATCAACTTTTGGCCCAGGCACAATGAGTGTCAAGTACTTGATATTCGTTATAATTTAATCGCGGTCCGTTGGGCGTGAAGTTCGATAAAGGTAGAGGTTAAACAATTTCGTAAATATTACCCCTCTGTACTGATCTTTGAGTTCTGGTTTTTGAATATCACATACCACTGGCGTCCGAACATATATTTTAGGATTTAACGCTTCAAACATGTATAGATTCTAGTTCATTCGATGTCCTCGAACAGTATCAAATGTTTTTGATAAATCAATATCACGTCAGGTTCTGTTTGAGTCCTTTCGTAATATAGAAAGTTGTTTTCGTGCTGTGCTGCTTCCGAAAACCGTATTGATAGGCAGTATTCTCTAAAGCTTGGGAATAGTAAGGAGTCTTAGCTATTAGCGACCTCAGTGAAATCATTGCCTGGTTTCGGGTTTACCCTGTCGTTTCAAGACTCCGAATCTTATAAGGATGGCTAGCGGCAAATATATGACCTTGGTTAGGTTAAATTCACCTTGCTTGGCTTCAGTAGTCATGGGGAACTAATAGGTTGGTTAACAACAAATTGAAGGCTAGGTATTCTACTCCTTGTTCATTCAGTTGCTTCAATACTACTTTAGAGATTCCATCAGAACGGAGATCTGTCACTTCAGCGCCGATAAGTGATGCAGATGTTAAATCATCCATCTTACCGTTGCCTACAAAATTACTTATAATTAATATCTATGGTCTTCTGTGAGAGAGAGAATAGAAATGTTGAGGATAATGTTCATACATTCGCAAAAACTCGTGCTGTACAATTTTTTTCCGTTAACTATTTTTGAAAATCGCATAACTTGTTTTATAATACGAATTTTAGTACCCATGATCAACAAAGAGGCTGTACGGGTTATAAAGGCCCTCCTAAACAAATGCCTATTTTCTTTTTCCTGTAGAAGAAACTCCATACAATACCAACATAGCACACTAAGTCAAATGACAAGTAAATGTTGTAGACCTCCCCGGTGACGTAAAACAATTTCGTCTTTAAAAATTTAACAACGTTGATGGCAAAACCTCTTGACCACAAACTGCGGCATATTGAGTGCGGGGGAAGCAAGAGAACAAAGTGAAATATGTACTATTGCCTTGTTAAGTTTTAAGATTAGTGGAAGATTAAATCAGTGGAGGAGGGGTTGCTCTCTGCTATCTTCCTTTGTTGGTGATTACTGCCGTTAATGTTTTTGTTGTTGTTGCTGTTCCCTGCTACTGTTTGCTTTTGGTTGGTAAGATGATATCAGTGTTAAACAAAGACAAGGAAGAAGATCAAGATTATAACAACTTGAGAATAGATACGGATTACGTAGATGCTGATAATCGATCTTTAAGCAAGCAAGCAAGAAAAAAGTAACAACAGCAACATAAAAAAACGAAGATATTGTTTTTTGCTTGTATGTTTTTCTTAACGACATTTAAATTGTGCACCGAACATGTTATGTTAATCATTGCCAATAGGTAACGAGGAGTGTTTGTGAATGTATTGGTTAACTCTGCGATATTGAGGACTTACTATTTTTTCTTCCAAGATTGGAATATATATCTCAACTAAAAAGATGATATTTTTTTGTCTTAAAAGTAAAAAAAATATCGAAGAGTAGTCCGATGACTTCATTAAGTAGTTCTGGTTAATTTCTTTGGAGAGGGTTTATCATAATTTTTCTATATGATGTATGTGGCTGCCATAGGTCCATTGTAGCTTTAAATTATGGGTATCCCTAATAGATGTCTAGACATATTTATATTGTGTGGTTATGTTTCACTGATAATATATTCAATAGTTCTCCCTCCTTCTTCTCGTTTCTCCAACTGGGGTATTTTTGTTTTTGTAGGATTTTCCTCATATTTAACTAATTTTTATATAAACCGATATCTGTAATTTTTTTATTATATCAGAGCCAAAAGTTAGGTTAAAAACGTCTTCCTATATAAAGGCGGATTGATATGTGTAACTTTTGATTCGGTTAAGATATATTTCCCATGGAAATTGTGCCCCAAATAGCAATATGGAATTTCGCACAATAAGTGTAAAAATTATGTTCTGTTAAAATCGGTTGAGATTTAGATATAGCACCTAAATGTCCATCTGTCCGATTACATAAAAGGTACACACAAAAATCCAAATAAACAAGTCAAAAAATAAACCAGTAAGGAATGTTCAAAAGTCAGACGGGCCGACTATATGATACGCTCCACCACTTTGGATATATACGAGATATGCTAATATATACAATATCCTATATATATATATATATAACTTATAGACATATAATTTTTAGAAGACCATTGAAATGGAATGGGGCGAAACTAAATGTATGATCTACATAGATATTTGAACAAAGTAAAAACTCAATGCATTGTATGTCAATCGGATTCCTTTGTGTACCATTTGTATCAATATCGAGCAAAATAATGTATGTGGAGCTATATGTAAATCTGGATCTAATTGAGCAACCGTGGCATATACCGTTTGGTATGCTGCAGCACAGAGCGCTGTTCACAATTTTATCTCGTGTATATGGAACAGACGTAGGCTCCTCGGTGCACCATTTATCAAAAACCGGAAGAAAATGTATATGGGAGTTCTATATAAATCTGAACCGATTTTCACAATACGGAGTATACATTAATAAGGACCTATCTCAATACGTTGTGCAAAATGTTGTATCAATCGTAAAATCCTTGGGAGTTTGGTGCACCATTTACCAAAAAATCATTTATCCAAATCTAAACCGATTTTCACAAAACTTCGCATAGATCAATGGGGACATATTTTAATACGCTGTGCAAAATGTAGTCTCAAGAGAAAAAAATATTGAAAGTTTGCTGAACAATTTACCTAAAATCGGACGAAACTATATGTGGGAGCTATATCTAAATCTGAACCGATTTCAAAAAACTTCATAAATATCAAACAGGACCTAATTTAGTAGGCTGTGCAAAATTTTGTCTCAATCGGACAAATATTGGGAGTTTGGTGCACCACTTCCATATAATCGGATAAACTATATAAGGGAGAAATATATCTAAAACTGAACCGATTTCATCAAAACTTCACGTACATCAAACTTGACCTAATCTAGTACGCTGTGCAACATATTGTCTTAATCTGTATAATATTGGAAGTTTGGTGCAACATTTACCTACCTAAAATCGGACGAAACTATATATGGGAGCTATATCTAAATCTGAACCGATTTCCACGAGACTTGGCACACGTCATTCTAGACTTAATTCAGTACGCTATGACAAAATGCGTGCAAATCGAATGATTTTCAGAGGCTTTGGTGCACCAATCACCTAAAATCGGGCGAAAATATATGGGAGCTATCTCTAAATCTGAACCGATTTTCATGAAACTTAGCACACATTCAGTTCAGTACGCTATGTCAAATTTCGTGGAATTCAAAAGAAATTAAATCGGACTAAATCGGAAAATATATATGGGAGCTATATCTAAATCTGAACCAATTTTTCCCAATTTCAATAGGGTTCGTCCGTGGGTCAAACAATAAAGCTGTGCCAAATTTTATCCAATTCGGATCCTAAATGCGACCTATACTTTGTTTACTATTTAACATGGACAGTCGGACAGATGGACGGACATGCATAAATCGACTCAGAAAGTGATTCTATGCATATTCTCAAAAGGAACCATGTGTTTATCTCGTTTCCTTTTGCTGTTACAAACATATGCACAAAGACATAATACCCTGTACCACAGTGTGGTGAAGGGTATAAATAGCCAAAAAAAGATATACCAAAAAGAAACGATTCAAAAATTTCCAAAAAAAATAGAAAACATGACTTAATGGGGAATCGTAGAAGAGAAATTACAGGAAACCGAAATAAACAAGCTGTATGTTTATTTGCTGTTTGAAAATATTATACATAAATATCCTTCCTATAGTTGAAAAATAGAAATAAACATATAAAACTATCACAGGCCAAAAATCAGAAATAGTTCTTCATCCAAAAATATGAGACTTAGCAATCCATACAAAAATCAACGGGTCTTTTGAAATAGACCTTCCAGCACTCAATCTTCAATATTCTTCCAAAAATGTCGATTAACCTCCTTCATAGCAATTCTTCAAAATACACGCTTGGACCCCTCAAAGTCCTTCTAAAAATCCTCGCATGTATCCTTCACAGTCCTTCCAAGAAACCACTCTTATTATCCTGAATGTTATTGGAAAAATATATATAAGAATGTCCTTGACAGTTTTTTTTCTAAAATACACGTCAATAATTTTGAATGTCCTTTACAAAAAAATATTTTAAAATTCAGCACTCATAGCTTTGAATTGTCTTGGCAAAAATTATAAAAGAACTCCACCGTTGTGTGGGGGACATGCGCTATACATTAAGAACCCAAAATATTTATTTCCGCCCAATTCGATTTACAAAAGTGTTCAAAACCCCCAAAATACCGGTTATTGGGAGGTACCTTTATATGGGGGCTACACCGCAATATGGACCGATATATCACATTTACCATACCAAACATCATAGGAGTACTAGCAATGTATGTGCAAAACTTCAGACCTCTATCTTAAATATTGCGATCTCCATCGTGATTTCAATAGACGGAGAGACGAACACACATAAATCGAAAAATATTTTTTTTATCAAAAATATATACTATTAAAGTTCTCCGGTGAATATTTCTAGGAATGACAAATTTAATATACTCTCCACCTTTTGTGTAGGGTATAAAAATTCAATCCATGCTTTTTATCCTGGAAGTTCTTAAAAAAATAATATTGTAAAAATAAATTGTAAACTTTTCCTTTCATTTTCTTAATCATATCATTCATAATATCATTCCGAGCCGATATTTGTCAACAAAGCTTATGTTTCGACATTACTTCTATAAAAAAGGTTCGTCCATTTTTAATTTTTTGAAGATCATAGTTTCATTTTCCAACATATGTAGCTATGGTCTGCAAAATAAGTTGTTTTAATCATATTGTATGGTATCCATCCTAATATTATTTATTATACTTAGACAAAACAGTCCTAACATTCCAAACATATATCAATTCTTCACCCACATTCGCAACCCACCAATCGGGGCAAACTAATCTTACAATGAAAGTCTTGTTATGAGAAAAATCATAAATCACACGCCGACACATTCCAGTTGTCAATTGGTGGCAGCGAGTTGTAGCTTTCCATTTGTAGACAACCATAACTAATATTTTGCTAAAGAAAAGTTTAATTAAAACGCTCGAAACGATCACACAGCAACAGATCGGTGACAAAAAGCGGGCAGGCAACAGCTTTTGAGTAATTTCAAGTCAAGCCAAGTTTTTTTTTTTTTTTTTTGCTAGTTGAAAGACGAAGTACATACATTTGTTCCACCATTTCTAACCAATCTATGGATCGCCGTACACCCGCAAATATAGATTGGTGACAATAGTTCAAAGAAATACCGCCCGCTCTTTTCAAACGGCCATTGGACAAATAGTCAATCGTAAAAATCGAGTTATGGTTAAAACAAACTCCATTGCCATTACCAAGTATGGTTGCTCAATAGGTGGCGCCAGCAACATGGTGCACTGTTTCCATCATCTGCTGCTACTGCTGACACAGTTAGCTGTCTTGGCCACACTATGTCGACATGACATAAATGACATATTGTAGAGAACTATGAGACAGACGGGAAAGCACAAGACACTTAGCCTGTTTGGCTAGCTGACCGTCTGATCAATAGAATTTTAACATCATCATTATTATTAATTGCAATAAAATGTCCGTTGTCTTTAGTTTACTTTGACATTAACTTTGATTTTTTTGCTGTTTCCCTTTTTCTGATATATTATTCGTTTCACTTTTAGGTCATTTCATAGATGACAATCGTTTGGATCATCATGCGGTGACACCACAAGGTAAGTTATAAACAGCAACTGGTGAAAGGTTTAAATTAATTAACAAATTATATTGTTGTACATACAATATTTTGAGGAACATAAAAAAGTCATGCTATTTTAATATACAATACACATAATAGGGTATGAAACATTTTGTTTCAATCGGACAAGCTTAGAGTTTTGGTGCTTACTTCACTTACTTAGCTGGCTTGTTACAGAAGGGTTGTTCCATAAGCCGAGCTTAAACCACTAAGGAAAGTAGTAAAGTCGGACTGGGCCGACTATATGATACCCTTCACCACTTTGGGTATATTCTACATATGTATCCTAACATATGTAGAATATATCTGAATCGCTTGGCTTGGTCTTCTCGCCGTTTACTGCCAGACCCACCTTAACAGACTTCTTTTCAATATGTTCAAAGGTGGCTGTTACCGCTCGCAATGTTCGACCCATTATATCGATGTCATCGGCGTAGGCGAGTAACATGTGTTGTTTGGTGTACAGAGTGTCATTTCTGTTCACCTTTGCGTCTCGTATGACATTTCCAGCAGGATGTTAAAAAGATCACACGACAAACTGTCACCTTGTCTGAATACTCGTTCGGTATTGAAGCGCTCCGATAGATGCAGGAATGCCGAACGCAGACATGGATTTAAACACCTCTGGACGGATAGGGCGTCGAATGCGGCTTTATAGTCGACAAATAGGTGGTATGTGTCGATGTGTTTTTCGTGGGTCTTTTCCAGGATTTGGCGCAGAGTGAAGATCTGGTCATGGTGGATTTGCCAGGTCTGAAGCCGCATTGGTATGGTCCGATGATGTCATTGACCATTGGCTTCAATCGTTCACACAGCACACTGGATATACCTTTATAGGCGATAGGAAGGAGACTTATTCTTCTATAGTTAGCACATATCGCCTTGTCTCCTTTTTTGTGCACTGGACACAGGATGCTGAGGTTCCAATCATTGGGCATGCATTCATCTATGTTGTCGGATGTTTCTTCATGAAGGCTGAATTTTTCTGACGGTGGGGCCAAAGATATTTTCCCTTCCGATTTTTGCATTAAAATCTTCCAGCAGAATTTTAATGTCATGGCCAGGGCAACGGTCATATGCTGTTTCTAGGCGCTCGTAAAATATGTCTTTGGTCGGTTCATCGTTATCTTCGGTCGGAGCATGGGCGCAAATGAGACTGATGTAAAAGAACTTCGCTTTTATACGGATTATAGCAATTCGCTCATCTACTGGAGTGAATCTGGAGACAAGGTCTATTATTCTCCTGTTAACCATAAATCCGCAGCCAAATTCATGTCTCGTTTCATGGCAGCTATAATACAGGGCGTAATCGTCTGATTTACTTACGCCTGTCCCTTTCCATCGCATTTCCTGTAAGGCAATAATATCGGCTTTGTACTTCGTGAGTATATCCGCCAAAGCGACCACTGCGCCTGCTCTGTACAACGTGCACACATTCCCAGTGCAGATTCGCAGATCGTGGTCAACATTAGAGGGGTTTGGTTTTCTTTTTCTTAGCATTTTAATAGTAGGTTGGGTTTTCCGAGAGTGGGCAACTAACCCGACGCCTCAACCCATTTCTTTATAGTTCTTATGGGTGAACTCGCGACACATATTAACTCACTATTTCATCGTGGGTGATGAGTCCACAATTGAGATGAAAGGGGGACCAAGATAAGCCTGGACTTTGCCATGTTATAGCCAATCAGAGCCGTTGATTGGTATCTATCATCTCCTACGCCACCCAATGGTACACCATTTACATAATATACGAAAAAATATATGGGAGCTATATCTAAATTTCAAACCTAACGTTTTCAAAAAACCTAACGCAAGTTACTCTAGTCTCAATACGGTACCTTATGAAAAATTACATTTTAATGGGACAAACATTGGAAGTTCAGTGCATCATTTACATAAAATCGGACGTAAAATTATATAGGAGCTTTATATATATCGACGCCGGTATCAACAGAACACATGTTGTTCTAGACTCAATTCGGTACGCTATGCAAAGCCGTCCTTACTACATTCGAGCTGGTGAACACGGCATAAGGTATTCGAGTACTGTTAAGTATTTTGAAATAACGGTGTCCGAGTGGTTGAATTTACTTGCTCACTTAGATCGGTTGAAGGTTGTAAGGACCATCAAGCGTGTTTTGGGAACCGATTGCGGCTTGTTTGTCTCCTGTTCAACTTATGGTTCACCTACATGGTACAAAGTTGCCTCGACTATCTTAGACCAGAAGAATCTACCTTCGTGTCAGCGGGTCGTTATGTTAGCATGTTTGCCATTGTGTTGCACTATTGCAACAAAGGCGTTGCAATTGCTGCTTGGCGCCGTGCCGCTTGATCTTGAAGAGATCTAATCCCCCTATCCGCTTCTGAGGTTGTTCAAGGAATGTCCGTCTTATCCTTCTGGGCTACCGTCTGCTGTTCCTTCTTGTTTTTTTTTTTATTTATCCATGGGAATTTCCTCACCTCAAAAAGCTCTTTGTTTCTTGTCGTGAGCTTGGCTCCTTTTGCAGTCTAAAATCTCTCTCGGAAAGTTCGGTATCAGCATGTTGACTTTACGCTTCTAGCATTACCCTCAACTACAAATGCCACATCTGTAGAAGATGTTTGCTAATGATTGCAGGATGACAGATCAACCAAACCGGCCGGTATTGGATTATTTAGACCATATGCCGTAATTATATCCTTATTTTTCAATTTTCTTTTTAAGGGAACACTTTTTAGTCAGTTTTGATTCAGAGGGGGAAATCCGTAAAATAGGGTAATCAACTACCCCATACTAGCTCCATGTTTAACTGATTGTAATATAATTGTATGACCATCCACTTTTCCCATTCCGCCACCTGCTGACGCGCCCATTAAGAGACGGACAACTCCATCGTCAGAAATCATACTAAAATCGGAACAAAGTTATTGTGGTAGACAACATATTTGTACTCATGTCTCTTTTGTTCATAGGCAATTTATGATAATCAAATATTTTAACCCGATATTTATATTGATTTGTTTTAATTTGGTCTTTCGGTTACGTTGATTTCGCAATATGTTTTTATATTTTTAGATGAAGGACCACGTCAATTAGAGGTCCACAGTCCATCATTAAACTTAAAAATACAATGTTTTTTATTGTATAAGTTTTTAAATGAGCGTCATGTACTTCAATTCATTTTAAATTCTACTTTAAATATTTATTTCTAGGCGGAAGTGTGTTAGGCTCCTCTGGTGCGGGTCATCATGGCAATCATGTTGGTCATCACAGTTCGGCGGCATCAGCTCTACTTGTTGTTCCTCAACCAATCAATGCAACAAAAATTGGTGCCTCCCTGGGGGGAGGTACGACTGGTACGGGTCGTAAATATCAATGCAAAATGTGTCCTCAGGTAAGTTTAGAACACATGAATCCTAAATATAAATAATAATTATTAAAAGTTAAGAATTTTGGTAACATGTTTCTCTATTGAATAAAAATATATTTGTAAGTAAGAATCGCTCTTCGCAAAAATTTGAACAGAATAAATTACAAAATGTCGATTCCTTATTACAAGGCATTGTAATTAAGGGAAAATGTACCAAAAAAACAACACCCATTTTTAGGGGTGTGGAATTAAAGGATAACAACACATCAAGTACTAATGGAGAATATAGCCACATTGCTCCTTATACATGTATACACAATATATGTACACGCGCACACACACACTCTGATATACACACGTTTAATGTAATATAAGTTAAAACAAAACTTATAAGCAGATTTTGATTACAAAGCAAATGACAAGCCAGTACACATACTCACACACCCATAGACAGACAACGTTTAATGAAACACGTACACATTCCCCCATACATATACAACTAAAAAGGCTATA